CCAACACCCCCCCCGCTGCTGCTGCTGCTGCTGCTGCTGCTGCTGCTGCTGCTGCTGCTGCTGCTGAGCAACAGAGACTCAAAGTCTCCTCTGTCTCTTCGCGCGGAGACAGCTGACGAGCGGAGCCGTACCCCATCTAGCTCTCTTATAGCTCGCTCCATTGTCTCCTCTTCACAATACTCTAATACCCTAAACCACAAACGCAAAACCCTAAACCCTAAACCCTCGTAAACCCTAAACCCTAGTAGATAGTATTTATTATATCATATGTAATAAAAGTCTAAATGAAAAAAAAAAAAAAATTTTATAAAACCCTAAACCCTAAACCCTAAACCCTAAACCCTAATATATTAGATTCATACACCACCAGCTAACTGCTCAACGTTCCTGCTGCTGCTGCTGCTGTTGCTGCTGCTGCTGTTGCTGCTGCTGCTGCTGCTGCTGCTGCTGCTGTACCCGTATTTGCGGCCTCCAGCGAAAACAACATTCGCGAAGTTCACCTCCCCCACTGCACACACACAAACCCTAAACCCTAAACCCTAAACCCTAAACCCTAAAACCCTAAACCCTAAAACCCTAAACAATAAACAATAAACCTTAAACACTACTAGTCCGTATACAATACTAAACCCTACAGAAAAAGCGACAATGGATCATAAACCCTAAACCCTAAACCCCCCTAAACCCTCGTAAACCCTAAGCCCTAAACCCTCGTAAACCCTAAACCCTAAACCCTAAACCCTAAACCCTGGTTACCTCTCCTGCCGAAGTCTTTGAGGTCTTGCCACTGTACGGTGGGGTCAAGGTTCGCTATCAGCTGCATACGCAAAACCCTAAACCCTAAACCCTAAACCCTAAACCCTTATAATAAACCCTAGAGAGAAATAATAAACCCTAAACCCTAAACCCTTATAATAAACCCTAAAAAGAAATAATAAACCCTAATAAAAAACAACAAACCCTAAACCCTAGACCCTTATAATAAACCCTAGTAAGAAATAACAAACCCTAAACCCTAAACCCTTATAATAAACCCTAACAAACCCTAAACCCTAAACCCTAAACCCTTATACACACCACTCGGTGCTGCGTCCTCCTCCCCCCAGGCCCTCCTTCTCCCCTGATACCGGATCTGCCTCCATGCTGCTGCTGCTGCTGCTGCTGTTGCTGTTGCTGCTGCTGCTGCTGCTGTTCTTTCTCCTGCTTCTGCTGCTCTTGCTCCTGCTGTCGTTCTTGCTCCCGTTCCTCCCGCTGCTGCCGTTGCTGCTGCTGCTGCTGCTGCTGCTGCTGCTGCTGCGCTTCGTCAGCTTCTGCTGCTTCTCTGCTCCTGGGGGCCCTTCTCTCCTCTTCTCTCTCATTCAGGGGGGCCCCCGGGGGGCCCCCCTCAGTACCCACCCCACGGCCTTCGCTCTTCCTGCTTTCTCCCTCTCCTATAGACACACGAGACAGCAGCAGCAGCA